CTAGTTTGGCCTTGTTGAACATGCTAATAGCACCATTAAATGCCTTTCCCTGGGTGATTAATGGTGTTATGGAGGCACTGGTCTCAGCGCGCCGTATCTGTCGTCTTATTGGTCTACCAGAGTCTCAAACTCGGGAGTTATCCTACGTCCCGCTCGCGTCTACAAATCCCGCTTTTGAAGATGAAAGCCAGGAATACGAGGGCAGTCCAAGGCCTCAAAAAGAAGCGCTGTCGTCTGATAACAGCTTCAAACTTTTCATTTGCGCCGAACGTTTCTATTGGGAAACCGCCGAAAAACCCGCTTTGATCAATGTCGATCTGTCTATTTCCGAGGTATTTAAGTAAATCGCGAACATAATTTACGTCATTTTACCTACTGTTTTTATTCGGAACTTGAGATAATCGCCGTTTATGTCTATTTTTCGCATGATTTTGACTAAAACTCAATGAATCATTGCTCTGATAACATCCTCTGCAAACGCAACCTGAATAAAACATATGGCGAATGTCAACCTAAAGAAGGAGCATCTTAAATGAGTACACCAACGCGTCTGCTTTGGTTTGCGGTTCCTGAATCGTACCGATTCTCTCCCAGTTATCGAAAAATGAGGGACATAAGTACACAACTCCTTTTTATAACGAAGCAATTGGCTTGTAGACACGTATATTGTAGACATCATATTTCTTTGAAATTTGAGGTGTTTTATACATTTTTAACTTTTCTCTATGTCTAATTCCTTTAGCTATCTGCGCTTTTTCTTGTTCCTATAAGGGCCAACTCATTGGTGTCGTGGGCCCCGTCGCCTCCGGTAAGTCGTCCCTTCTTCTAGCCATAATGGGCGAGCTGCAATCACAGAATGGCCAGGTCAACTATATACATGGCAGTTCTGGCGCCATTGCAACTCCGCGATTTGCTTATGTTGGTCTTACACCCTGGCTTCAGAAAGGCACGATCAGGCAGAACATTCTGTTTGGAGAACCCGCTGATGTTGAGTGGTTACAGACGGTGATTGCAGCCTGTGGGCTTGAGTTGGACCTCAAGAAACTTCCCCACGGCTTGGACAGTGATGTCGGCGAAGCTGGTAGCTTGCTGTCCGGTGGGCAGCGAGCCCGCATTGCCTTGGCCCGAGCCATCTACCAACGAGCTGATGTTTACCTACTCGACGACCCTCTTGCCGCCTTAGATGCTCATGTGGCGAGGGCTTTAGCAAGAACCTGTCTTGGAAGACACGGTCTGTTGGCGAGCAAAACTCGTATTGTGGCGACTCATCAGCCTGAATGGCTTCTCAGTAAGGTAATTACCACCAGTGCATAGCACAATTTGTCTTTTTAAGAAAGATATCCACGGTGCAGTCCAGCAAGCAAACAAATAGATATTGTTCTCCTGACTTTCGGCGAGGTCTCCTTGAAAAATTATGATTGTACCTTTCGACCGAGCAATCTATTCATCCACAGAAGACCAATTGTATTTTTAAAAGTCCTTTAGGTCACTTTAACTGAAACCTAGTTTGCATGAATTCTAAACGAGACCTTGTTTACTGGGAGTTGTCTCAATCCAAAAATTTATCAAGGACTCTGCGCACAAACTGTAGATAAGTTATTCAAACAAACAAATCTGCAGCAGAACATAACACCAATGGCTCCATAATGGACACCAAAGTTTCCCCGTCGGATAACTCTGCCTTCTGAAATATACAGACCGTTTGATTTTTGGCGTCAGGATAGGTATCAAGCTTAAGGCCAATTTTATTGGGTATTGAAAAGTTGGATTGAATTTTCAGTAATCAAGACGTCTACTCGAAAATAGTTTGCTTTCTCTTCAACTGCCGTTTTGTAACCCGAGGTTTTCACACATTCCTTATATTTCCATAAATTCTGTATAAAAACAGTTTCAAAAAAAACGAAACTTTTTTTGAGGAATGAGACATGATCGCTGTAACAGAAGCTCTATTAGCCGGAGTTTTAAAATTTTCACCAGAGATAGAGTCTTCTTTGTATTGAAAAATGCAGTTGGAGAGCATAGGCGTGCTTTCGATAAATTTTCATCGCACCAGTACATTTATATGGGAATGGGGTTAAAGGAAAAACACATAGTCAACTATGTTTGTTATTTCATACAAGTGGATCATGGGAACTGTGGGAAAGTGTAGCGGATCGATAAGAGACGGCTGGTTTTGCGGCGGTGAGGATTTGATGGATACAGTCAAGTGAGACAGAGAAGAGAAACAGAGAGCGCGGAAGAATGCACGCAGTTAAGTTACCATTGGTCATGTAAGACGTGGAGCTTGCACAAGATTCTTTTGTGTGCATAGGACGGGCTTCCTCAACCTGATAGCAAAAGCTTCTGCGGTTACAGGTAGAAGCTGACCCAGGGACATGCAGTAGTTTAGTGGGACCTTAT